TTCTTTTATGACAAATTAATATTTAAAACACTCCACTTTATCTAAAGGATTATCTATCTTTCCTTTCCATTTTCAATCAAATATTTTGTAGAACTCTTAGCATTATGATTTTGATCTATTCTTGAATTTATTATTTTCTTTTTTTCTTTTTTTTTTAAAAGATTTCGAGCATAACATTTTATTATTATTACAGGTGTCCTCGTTAATGAAATTTTTTTTTGATGGAACCATGATAAATGAATTGCATCAAGAATATTTCTCAAGTTAAGGGACTTAATCAATTAAAAAAGAGAAAGAGAAGACATATTAGTATATGATTAATCTATAGTCCAATTCTAGATCATTGTTAAAATTATTAAACAACGTTCAACATTTTATTATTCCAAACCAAGTATCAATATAGTGATTTTTTTCTTGACATTACCCTTGTATTAGGATAAACAACCAAACCTGATGTCAAATAAAAATATCATAAAAGGATAAATAAAAAATAAAAATAAAAATATTTAAATATAGAAAAAAACATTGTAGAATATTATATATTCAAAAATAAAAAAAACATTGTAGAATATTATTACAATTAATAGTGTTTTTTATGTTCTTTTAATTTAATTTTAATTGTAATTGTTAGAAAATGAGGTTTTGATATCAAAATAGAATAATTTCTTTTTACTTATTTTATCAGTTTTTTGAGAAATTTTTATTTAAGAACACGATTTGTGCATCACATTTGAGTGACATGTATTAATTTTTTGGGTTAAAATTTTATTGAAAATTAATCTTTAACATAAACTTTTTAATTTAGAATATGAACATGATTTAAACAAATTATAATTAAATGAAAAATTGATTTTAAAAAACCATTGTGTGATTTATTTCCATGAAATTCAAAACTCTTTAAAATAATTCTATCCCAAATAGAAAAAAAAAACAAATTTTTTTTAACGTTAATAAAGTGAGAAGTTAAAATTGAACAAAATATATATCTAAAATTTAATATAAAAAGGGCTATAAGTAAAATGAGTTTTGGACTCAAACCCTACCCACACATGTTTTGGCTTAAGTCTAGCACTATATTTGAGTTTATTGCAAAATAATATTTTGAATTATAAAAAATTATTTTTTATCATCTAAAATTTAAAATTAAATTTGATCTATGAAAAATTATTTCTTGCCCATTATTTGTTTTGATTTTTTAAAATTTAAATGGATCTTTTAGCTCAAAAGACACCTAGAAACATTTAGGTTTGATTTTGGTTACTATTGGTAATAAATTATTACAGGTGTCCTCATTAATGAAAAAAAAATGATGGAATCATGATGAATGAATTGTATCAAGAATATTTCTCAAGTTAAGGGACCTAATCAATTAAAAAAAGAAGAAGAGAGAGGATGTTAGTATATGATTAATCTATAGTGCAATTCTAGATCATTGTTAAAATCATTAAACAATGTTCAACATTTTATTTTATTTTATTATTTTTTTTATTTACGTGGGGTGCTCGGGCCAGCTTGCGCGTACCACGACTAATCCAGGTATGTAAGGCACCGTAGGTATGTAAGGCACCGTGAGGGTGACAGGCGTGCACGCTAGGGCTCGAATCCAGGTGCAGTGGAAGGACACAAGCCCCTTCCACCGCTAGGCCAAGCACTGGTTTGCTTCAACATTTTATTATTCCAAACCAAGTATCAACATAGTGATGTTTTTTCTTGACATTACTCCGTATCAGGACAAACAACCAAACTTAATGTCAAATAAAAATATCATGAAAGGACAAATAAAAGATTAAAATAAAAAATATTCAAACATAAAAAAAAACATACAATTATTTTAATGGTTTGGCATGCCTAAGATATTTCATAAATTGCTAAAAAAAATAAAAAATTATATATTTTATATTTTAAACCTTTACTTCTTATGACATGTTTTTCATCGAGCTAGAGTTTCAAAATTAAAATGGGAAATCATTTAAGTTAAAATATACATATCAAGTTTTTCAAAAAAATATTATTAACATAAATTCGAGTTTATTTGAATCTCTAGATAAACTTGCAAAATTAAGCTTGAATTCTCCTTGCAATATCATTATCTATTCAAGCACTAAATTTTCAATATAAATATCTTGAACTTTAAATATTAAAATTAGAAATTTTTATGAAAGATTTTAGGTTAGAAAAAATCTTTTTAAATACAAAAATCTTCATACAACCTCTAAGGCAAGTTTTATATCTTTATTTGGTGGAAAATTGATAATTAAAAATCTTATTATTAAGAGGAAATCTTAATAAGATTAAAGAGATTTTCTCTATAGCTTTTAATATTTTATTATTTAGACTTGATATCTTATCATAAAAGTTACCTATTGAAATACAAATAAATAAAAGATCGTTCATGAAGGATCATTCTTGGTTAAAATTCCTTGAGAATGAGCAAATAATTCTTGAGTTGGTTCAAAAGAAATAGAATCCATCTTTATTATAAGTTGTGAGAAGTAATGTTGTCTATATAATTTTTTTACATTCAAGTACTTATTCACCCTTGTTTTAAATTTAAACTATTAATTTTTATTCATGTTAATTGAATTGGTTGAGATAACATATATATACTTTCTAATTTCTTTCAATTCATAATTGATTTTTGGGATATAAATAAGAAGCAAATAAATTAATTTGATTACTGCAACTTTAATTTTAATTTATTATAGAGAAATAAGTCAAGTTACAAATATTTCAAGTTTTAAACGGTTGCTTGGAATAAATTTTACATTTTTTTGCTTCTAAAGCTACTGTCGAGTGAATGAAAATTACTTTTCAATATTAAATTTGCTTAATGGTAAAAAATTGATTAAAAAATATTTTCTAATTAATTCATTGATAATCTCCTTGATTCTATTTAGCTTCAAGGGATATCAAAATTATTTGTTTGAATTGAAATAATATTTATTTTGTCTTCATGATTAACAAATTTATAAAAATGAATATATAAATTTTTGAACTGAGTTAATGATATATTGATTTATCATTTTTATCTTTAGAATTTTATTTCTTTAATTTTGCATTCATTTACTCCTATATTTCAACATCTTATAGGAAGACTTGATATTTTTTTTATCTGTTCTGATTTATTATAAATTATTATTTTTTTAATAGTAAAGCCAATATTAAATTTTGAAGTTTTTTGAAACCAACACGTAGACACATTTCATATATATAAAATTCTGAAAAAATAAATAAAAAACAAAGAAAAAATTGAAAAATAAGATTTTTGAGATTCATAAAAATTGAAAAATAAAGAAATATTGATCTAAAATAAAAAATAAAATAAAATTTCAGAACTTGTTTTTGTTAATATTTGTTTTAATGAAAAAAATTAAAAAAATTAATTTGAAAATATAAAACCCACCATTTATAAAAGAAAAGAAGAAAAAGGGGTTAAGAATATAGATAGAAAAGAAAATAAAAGTTTCCCTTTATTAAAAGTAAACAGAAAAGGAAAATGAAAGTAAAACAATAAATAGAGGTGACTTAAATATTAATATTTTTTTCTTTTATGACAAATTAATATTTAAAACACTCCACTTTATCTAAAGGATTATCTATCTTTCCTTTCCATTTTCAATCAAATATTTTGTAGAACTCTTAGCATTATGATTTTGATCTATTCTTGAATTTATTATTTTCTTTTTTTCTTTTTTTTTTAAAAGATTTTGAGCATAACATTTTATTATTATTACAGGTGTCCTCGTTAATGAAATTTTTTTTTGATGGAACCATGATAAATGAATTGCATCAAGAATATTTCTCAAGTTAAGGGACTTAATCAATTAAAAAAGAGAAAGAGAAGACATATTAGTATATGATTAATCTATAGTCCAATTCTAGATCATTGTTAAAATTATTAAACAACGTTCAACATTTTATTATTCCAAACCAAGTATCAATATAGTGATTTTTTTCTTGACATTACCCTTGTATTAGGATAAACAACCAAACCTGATGTCAAATAAAAATATCATAAAAGGATAAATAAAAAATAAAAATAAAAATATTTAAATATAGAAAAAAACATTGTAGAATATTATATATTCAAAAATAAAAAAAACATTGTAGAATATTATTACAATTAATAGTGTTTTTTATGTTCTTTTAATTTAATTTTAATTGTAATTGTTAGAAAATGAGGTTTTGATATCAAAATAGAATAATTTCTTTTTACTTATTTTATCAGTTTTTTGAGAAATTTTTATTTAAGAACACGATTTGTGCATCACATTTGAGTGACATGTATTAATTTTTTGGGTTAAAATTTTATTGAAAATTAATCTTTAACATAAACTTTTTAATTTAGAATATGAACATGATTTAAACAAATTATAATTAAATGAAAAATTGATTTTAAAAAACCATTGTGTGATTTATTTCCATGAAATTCAAAACTCTTTAAAATAATTCTATCCCAAATAGAAAAAAAAAACAAATTTTTTTTAACGTTAATAAAGTGAGAAGTTAAAATTGAACAAAATATATATCTAAAATTTAATATAAAAAGGGCTATAAGTAAAATGAGTTTTGGACTCAAACCCTACCCACACATGTTTTGGCTTAAGTCTAGCACTATATTTGAGTTTATTGCAAAATAATATTTTGAATTATAAAAAATTATTTTTTATCATCTAAAATTTAAAATTAAATTTGATCTATGAAAAATTATTTCTTGCCCATTATTTGTTTTGATTTTTTAAAATTTAAATGGATCTTTTAGCTCAAAAGACACCTAGAAACATTTAGGTTTGATTTTGGTTACTATTGGTAATAAAAGTTATTAATGAAATAAATCTATCAACTTTTAGTTACTAAATTTTTTTATAAAAAAAGGGTTGAAGGGGTGTACTTGGTTAATTTTTATAAATTCGACAATCTTCTTTACTTTGTTTTCTAGCATTAATTACTGGTTTTAAACCGTTGTTTTTCCTTTCTAAATTTTCTTCTAATCCAGAGCACAGGAGAAAGCCAAGAATACTTTTTACTCTCATCGAAATACTACGGATCCATATTACATTAAAAACAATTGATTGATGAAAAAGAATTAAAGAATTGCAGTTACAAAAAATAATTGAATATCTTATGTGGCAAAACTTGGACAGGTAATGCAAGGACGTCTTCTTTCTAGGACATGCTGCATTCCGGAGGTAGACCTTGGGGGAATCTATTGACATCTTTGCAGTAATTGTATACCATGTAGTTCTCCCGGACCCATTTCAACCTCTCCTGCCTTGTTGAATCAAGCTCCTCCGAGAACCAAGCATTCGAGGTGGAGGCGGGAGGAGAAGTGGTTGTGCCACAAGAAGATGCCCCATTAGACAAAACACAAGCTTCGGCATTGAAATTTCTATAAGAAGCGGTGAAAGGAGCTAGGGCCCAGTCTGTCTTGACCAAGCCACCTCTTGTAGCCCAGTCATCAGCATTCCATAGACTCGAGTAAATCCTCATCGGCTGGTTTTTTGGAAAGGGAACCCCCATGGACTCCAGGTTCTTGAACTCTCGAATTGGAGTGCCATCCACAGAGAAGCTGGAGCAGAGGAAAGGTAACAAAATTAGTAACACAGCATGTATTAATGTTGTACACGGAGCAGGATTGAAGATTGATGCTTACACAATGCGCTGTGGATTCCAAAGAATGGAATACGTGTGGAAATCAGCAGTTGGGTCAAACCAAAGATAGAATTGCTGCTCTCTGTTGCCTTTGCCTTGGCTAAACACGTTAGTGTGCAGGATGTAAGGATCACCGCTCAAATTCCCCAGGAATTCAAAATCTATCTCATCCCACGCAGACCCTTTTGAGGACAGCTGCATATTCATGTGACAAAAAACATGTTTACTGTTAGTCACATATAATGATTGTTCTGTGCCTTATTTGAGGCAAGCAATCAAGTTCACTTACATAATAAGCAGTGACAGTGCCTGCAGAGTTGCCAGGGACAAGCTTGAGTTGCATGTCAATCTTTCCGAACAGATACTCCTTCCTGGATTGAAATCCAGAGCCAGGCAAACTAACGCGGAGCACGCGTATGCCAAGCATAAAAGAATTAAAAAAAAAACGCTTCATGATAAAAAAAATAATCATTGTTTCAATCTATATAGTGAAATGCAAGAGGCTCAAGGTTTTTTTTCTAAGGTTTTAAGGCTTGGATCAATTTAATGCAATGTAACTTTATTTTAGAGCATGAAGAAACAAATAAAAAAATAAATATAAAAAAAAACAATGTTAAGAAATACAGAACTCTTTTTTTTTAAATATTATTTGGAAATGTGTTGCAAATATTTCATGAAAATTTAATTTTTATTTATAATTTTAGATTATTTTGATGAGTTATATTAAAAATAAAATTTATAAAATAAAAAATATTATTTTGATGAATTTAAATTAATTTGAATTCTTAGCCACAGTTGCTCAAAGCCTGACACTATAAGTGCCGTCTAGGAAACTGCATTCAAGTATCTTTCCCGTGTTCTTTATTTTTTTCCTTTGTTTTGTCAATCATTTTTAATTAGCCCTTTGGAATCTCCCAATTTCGATGGTGATGATTTCATGAAAAAGGTTCAAATGGAGACTCGGCTTTTCACAGTTTGCGGACCAAGACGTGTAAACTAGGTTTTGAATTTGGATTTGAATATTACTGAATAAATAAATAAATTCTTTATGGAAGAAGCAACTCTTCAACACTAAAATTAATAATGGCAACAGATAAATAATGTAAAAGAAAACTTGAGAATAAGTATAGCGTCAAAGAAAATTGAGCCTTGCAATGTAAGATCAAAATGAGAAAAAATATTATTAAAAAATCTATTGTTAAAAGAGAAGCTCACGAATGTTAGTGACATGTTAGTAAACAAAAAAAAAAGATATTGAATTGGCATAGAAAATGATGTATTTTCACCTTAGTTTTAAAATTTGATTTGGTCATTAAATTAATATTAAATTAATTTGGAAGTGTAACTAATTTGGAATTGAAACAGAATTGAGTATAAAATTAAATAAAAAAAATTTAAAACTCAGTAACTAAATTAATCCTATAAAATCTAAGTTAAAAACTTGATTGCAACCTATTAATTATTTTTCAAGTTAAAATAATATAATTTTGATTTATAAAAAAATAAAATAATCTAAAAAACCTGTTCAAAACCCAATTATCGGTAAAAACCCTTGACAAGGATCTTAAACTGAATTAACCTTTTAAAAACTCTAATTTTCACACCAAAAAAGAAAAATATCGCTGAAACCGAATAAAAGTTGATAGTTTGTATAAATCTGTCAATAAAAAGCATTAAAAGAATGTGTGTGGTGGCGGTGGGCGACTTCACTTTTTGGGCGACTTCACTTTTCTGGGTCCTCTAGTCCAGTCCGTGTATTGGATAGGGTGTCGAAAACAGTGGAAGGGGACAGGCGGGGTGTTGCCGTTTGGGCTGGGGCCCAAGCAGCGTATGGTAATTAAATCCTTGAACATGGAAGAGTTCTGAATTGAACGATAGATATATTGTATTTAGATTCAAACCTTCATGGAATTTTTTTCCCATGGTTTTTTTTTTAAAAAAAATGCTAATTCCAGGGTGTTCTGCTTGTCCTTTCATGGATTTGATGAGAATTCTATTCAAGCGTGTTTGAAATAATAGATGTTCAATGCTTGAAATGCTGGCTCCAGGTTGATATGTTTGTTCTTTCAATATTTTTTATTTAAGTCTTTCTTTTATTCTTTGTTTGAAAGTTTATTTTTTTTTATCTCAATCTTATAAATCTTATGTCATGGATGATAGATTAATTGAGTTAATATGGAATAACATAAATTTATTTCTTTTATTTTTTTAATATTTTTTTTTAATTTTATTATTTAATATTAAATATTAAATTATTGATTCTTTTTTCACTATTAATTTATCCCAAGAGCAAGTAAATAAAATTAACCTAAACTAGCTGGGTTTTTTTTAATTGAACTTTGATATTTTTTTACTAGTTTTTTCTTTTGAAATTCTATTTTTTTTATTTTAATTTTATATCATGAGTTATGCGTTAATTAAGTAGCTTGGGTTGACTTAAGTTTTCTTCTTCAATGTTATATTTTTTGAAATTATTTTTTTTATCATTTAATATTTAATTATGAAGCCTTGAGCTTTGTAATTAATTTCTTTTTTATTTATGTGAATTATTTTGGTTTTATATCTAGAGTAGCATGTTAGTAAAATTAACATAAATTTAGTTAAATTATAGTTGTCTAAGTTTTTTTATGTTAGAAAAAATTTGATTTAGTTTGCAATGCAATACAAACTACTTATCTAGTTATAACATAAACAATGATAGTAATAGAAATGATAATATCAACAATAATATTCTTATTAACAAGCTAGAGGTTGAATG